CCCCCTCTCTCTCTCTCTCTCTCTCTCTCTCTCTCTCTCTCTCTCTCTCTCTCTCTCTCTCCTTGATTTGTTTATGATAATTTTTCTACATGTGACTCCATTGCATCTACACCTAATAGATTCCGCTTATTGGATTAAGTAAATCAGTATATATAATGTAGGTTCATGTACATAATTAATTATTGAAACGTGTCTTTGCTTGATTCCTTCTATAATTTAAGCATAATTTAGTAACCCTAAAAGTTTTTTGATGTTATTAAAAAAAGGTAATAAAATGGGCTAACTTTTCTAAATAATTTTCTTTTTTTCATTCCACAGTTCGGGGGTATCGGGTTCCTTACGGACATCTCGACTAATTCTTTTTTCAGTTTAATTAAAAATAAACTATCAACACCGGGATATAAGTATTTATGAAGAATAAATTCATCATGATTTGACTCTAAAAAATTACTAAAATTTAAAATCAAGACATCTAAATTTAGTAAATTGTGTTATCAAATTGTAAGGTTGTTTGAACTCTCAATTACTCTTATTTTAGTTTTTGTTTGGCTAAAACGATAAATGGATTAACTCGTCTAGATTATATTATACACATTTACACAATTTAATTCGATTACAATTAACTCGCTAGAAATCTTTTACAATGACATTTGCGTTAGGACTTTAAAAAAAAAATCAATTCTAACTCTATCGGACCGAGTAATTATCGAAAAGTTTATGATCAATACCTATTAACTTTGATGAGTTATAATTATATTTAAATTTAACTATAACTTGTTGAAACGGTATCAAAAAGTATCTTATTCGAAATTTAAACATGTGTAATTGATTCTTGCCAACGTGCCACAATATTCGATTCTTATCAGTAACGTTGAACAATGATACTGAAAAACAAAATATCTCTATTGTTTAACCAATACAAAATTACACATATAATTTTTAAATTATTCACAAACGGCGTTAGGTGTGCTCTCTCTATTTCTATTCGGGTTGTGCAGTTACCGAAGTGGGCCACCACACACGGTTCCCTAACGTCGAGGGTTAACGGAAAACTTATTATTGAGTGGTCCTGGCCAAAACGGCAGGTGCACGTTCTTCCCACCAACTCCGCGACGCCACGTGTCCAACAATTCCGCGTGAAGCAAAATTGAAACAACGCGGATTATGTTGATTGCTGCCCAAGGCGGGTAGGTGCACAGTTGCCACATGCTTAGGACACCTAATCGGGCGCCACGTTTTCGAAATCACAACAATTGGTGGAGTAAGACAGAACATTTTATATCATCGTGATTGTGATTGGTCAGGCTGGAGGAAAAAAACACAAAATGAGAGTGTGGATCTTCTTTAAGCAAGTAATGAAACGAGCGTGGGTGGATTTAATAAAAAAATATATATGATATAATTTGTTTACATATTAATTATATTTAAGTTATATACGATGCAAATTTAATATGACACGAAATAATAAATAAATCGAATATAGATAAAGTGTTTATTTTACTTGAATCAACCAATACTCGATAAAACTCGTTTTACTCGACCTGATTGACAAGTATAATTGTAATTATTATATCATGTTAATGTTGTCACCTGATATAACTATTCAATGATAACTCAATAAATTAATAAAAGTAGATTTTATTCTTTTGTATAATTACTCTCCATTTAAGTCAATATAATCCCCTATATATATATATATATATACTAGTTATTATCTGTGTCTGAAGGCACAGAATAATAAAAAATAATAAATAATAAATATATTTGTATTCATATCTAAANACCAGAACTTGCGATAAGTGAATGAGGAAAATAAGAGATTCATACCGTTTGATTCCAAATTGCGATTCATGTCAAGGCTGAGATCTCCGAGCGAACCGTTCTCTTTCAAGTACTGACTCAAGCGACTACACTTCTGAGAGAAGTTCAACTTCTCCGATGATCTTACCGGCATAAATCTGCCAGATTTCAAAATTTCCGACGAACTCGACATAATTACCGACGATCTAAAGCACAAATCTATTTCCCTTCAAACAATTACTCACGTAAAATCAGTGAGCTGAATTGGTATCGAAATCTCTTCAGTGACTCAAAAAAGTCTTTGCAGGTGAGAGGCGTGAAGGGATATTGTTTTGGGAAGCACAAGGATGGAGTAGTGTATGGAGCCGGGGGGGTCTTTTAAGCGGTGCTCAGTTGGTTGCTTTTACCCGGGGGACAAGGATTGTTTATTATCCTCGAATTTTTTATTCTTGTCGTCACGTTTTTCTTAAGGTGTACGAATCGTGTTTGTCTTCCAACACACGCCGCTCTTATTTTGCTGTGAATTCACGTCTTTGCCCTCGTCCTTTTTACTAATTTTCCTTTTTTTTATTATTATTATTTTTCTTGCTTTTTGGCAAAGGTTGTACAAAATAAGAAAAACCGTTACTCCACTTAAAATAAGAATCCATTATAAGTTATAACATTTTGAGTTTAAAATTTGATAATTTTTTTAAAGTCAGGTCATGTGTAATTTTATCTTTCATGAATTACTTATGCTCCATTTAATAGGAATGATGAAAAGTAAGAAGGATGAAAAATAGAAAGGATACACTTTTTATCCTTTAAAAATAAAAAGTAAGAAGGATACACTTTCATTCTTTTGTGTTTGGTTGGATGGATGAAAAATAAAAATGATTATTTTTTTTTTTGCTGATTAACATTAGGGGTAACAATCAAGTCCAGATAAGTCGTGTCCTGTCAGATTCGTGTTGAGTTATTATTACGAGTTTACGAGTCAAACCTAACTTAACTCATTTAACTAATTGTGTCGTGTCGAGTTGCGAGTTCACCTGTTTATTTTCGTATCGAATTCAAGTCGTGTCATCGTGTTAAGTCGAAAATTTTCACCATTTACCATTGTATTTTTATATAAAATTAATGTATACATAAAATATATAGACAAATAAGATACATCTCAACACAAATAATTAATTTTTCATTCACTTTTCTTTTGATTTTAGAGGGATTGATTTTGGTGAATTAGAAGGAAAGTTAATTCATCCATTTTTCCTTCCTTCCTACTTTCCTTTCTTACCAAACATGATATTTTTATTTATCCCTCCAACTTTTCATCATCCCACTTTTTCATCGTACCAAATAAAGCATTAGTTCTGATATATGTGATTTGTCTTTAACTGAACCTGAAAAAAAATTAATTAAAATATACATAAATTAACTTGAACAATTCTAACCATAATACAAAAAATAAATGTTAACTACCTTCTTAGTAATGTCTAAAAGTAAATTCAATCTAATTTTTCAAGTCAAACTAAACAAGTCAGAATACTTGACTAGTACTTAAATATATATTTTATATTTTTTGAAACAAAAATATTATTTTAATATATTTACGAGCATTGCACGTCTTGCATTGCTAGCGACGTCTAAAAATAAACTAAATCTAATTTTTCTAGTCAAACTAAACACCAAGTCAAAATTATTGACTGGTAATTCACCATTAATTGCCATCCCCCCCTCTCTCTCTCTCTCTCTCTCTCTCTCTCTCTCCTTGATTTGTTTATGATAATTTTTCTACATGTGACTCCATTGCATCTACACCTAATAGATTCCGCTTATTGGATTAAGTAAATCAGTATATATAATGTAGGTTCATGTACATAATTAATTATTGAAACGTGTCTTTGCTTGATTCCTTCTATAATTTAAGCATAATTTAGTAACCCTAAAAGTTTTTTGATGTTATTAAAAAAAGGTAATAAAATGGGCTAACTTTTCTAAATAATTTTCTTTTTTTCATTCCACAGTTCGGGGGTATCGGGTTCCTTACGGACATCTCGACTAATTCTTTTTTCAGTTTAATTAAAAATAAACTATCAACACCGGGATATAAGTATTTATGAAGAATAAATTCATCATGATTTGACTCTAAAAAATTACTAAAATTTAAAATCAAGACATCTAAATTTAGTAAATTGTGTTATCAAATTGTAAGGTTGTTTGAACTCTCAATTACTCTTATTTTAGTTTTTGTTTGGCTAAAACGATAAATGGATTAACTCGTCTAGATTATATTATACACATTTACACAATTTAATTCGATTACAATTAACTCGCTAGAAATCTTTTACAATGACATTTGCGTTAGGACTTTAAAAAAAAAATCAATTCTAACTCTATCGGACCGAGTAATTATCGAAAAGTTTATGATCAATACCTATTAACTTTGATGAGTTATAATTATATTTAAATTTAACTATAACTTGTTGAAACGGTATCAAAAAGTATCTTATTCGAAATTTAAACATGTGTAATTGATTCTTGCCAACGTGCCACAATATTCGATTCTTATCAGTAACGTTGAACAATGATACTGAAAAACAAAATATCTCTATTGTTTAACCAATACAAAATTACACATATAATTTTTAAATTATTCACAAACGGCGTTAGGTGTGCTCTCTCTATTTCTATTCGGGTTGTGCAGTTACCGAAGTGGGCCACCACACACGGTTCCCTAACGTCGAGGGTTAACGGAAAACTTATTATTGAGTGGTCCTGGCCAAAACGGCAGGTGCACGTTCTTCCCACCAACTCCGCGACGCCACGTGTCCAACAATTCCGCGTGAAGCAAAATTGAAACAACGCGGATTATGTTGATTGCTGCCCAAGGCGG